AGGGGAGAAAAGAGGGTGTTAAACTTAGTGCCATTTGCATTCTGCCACGTGGCCATTGGCCACAGACACATGGAAAAACAACCCCCAAAGGAAAAGCACCACATGCTCTCCATGTCCAGCCTTTACCCCTAAGAGAGAGATCCTGGGAGATGTGAGGAAAGGGCCTTACAGTTCTCCTAGGAAGGCAGAGTAGCAAAGCAAGGACCTTATAGACCTGGGGCAAGACAGAAGATAAAGCCTTGAGATCAAATCTCCCCAAAAGGAATCTTAGCCAAAGAGCAGCCATTAGGGGTTTGAGCCACCAGAAAGAGCGTACCTGAGCCCTGTTGTGGTCACCTGTTATGCCCTCAGAGGAACTTATTTAAAGTCCCTTCATGGTTGCCATGTGTCACTGGGGAATCTGGGTTCCCTTTTTTGGGTTCTTAGAATCATTGATAAAAAGATTTTGAAGACTGACTAAGAAGGAAACTTGAGGATCATTTTGTTAGAATTTGAGAGAAAATGGCACTCCAGGCAAGCTGTAAATCCTGGCAGCTCCCAGAAGGGAGATGGAGAAGGAGACCAGAGAAAGCCATACCTTTGTTTAAGGTCAGTGATAGAGGTCTGCAAGCAGGGTCTTCAGAGAAACCGTGAGAAAATCCAGAGCGCTGGGGCAATCATGTTTAGGGTTTGAGCTGGTATTCAAAGAAGAAAGGGAAGAAAGGGCAAGTTATACCTTTTGAGTTAGAACTCAGAAAAGTAGGCAGACTTAGCAATGAAGATCTGGAAGGGGCTACATCAAGGCAGGGGCTTCTGGAGGCATACGTATATTATCTCATTAAGGGATAACTCTTCCTCCCATCTCCTTAGCATATCTTCAGGTGAATCAGCTTCCCTGAACACTGGTCCCCTGGCCAGGTAATTGACAGGACCAGTTGGATTAACTTTTAAGGGAAGGCACAATAGTATATAATGTTCTTATCTTTAAGGCAGCTCAGAATGTCAAGTCTCAACCCAAGGTCAGAGACAGAAGCCAGAATCCATTCTTTTGACCAGGAGGAGGTAGCTTTTCCTTAAGGGGCCTCAACAAAGCTCAGAGACTTCTACCTTTTCATATGATATTTTAAATCTATGAAGGGGCAACTGTGATGCCTCCCCATCTAGTCTTACAAGGGAAATGGGAGGTGGGGTCCAAAGGTGACTATGAGGGAGGAGTGCATGCTCTATGGCCTCCAAGCCTGTTAACGTGTGTCTAGATACCTTCACAGCAGAACACATCCTCAGCTAGCTAGGAATCCATAGCCAGATATCAGAGCAAGGAGCCTGGAAAAGCAACAGACCCATCCTTTCTTGTGCCTCCCGGCCCTCTGGAGCCAGTGTGGGGTTGAATGCTTACTATGCAGAGTTGCTGAACATCATTTAGGGAGGGCCAAGTGGCTGACACCAAGGGCAGCTAGCAAACAAGCTGCTTTTGAACAGGCTTCTGCAGCAGTGGGGCTCCACAGGCTGGCTTTGTAGGCAGAATCCGCCACTGAATGAGGAAGGGCCCTGTCTGGGTCTCAGCTCTCTATGAGCCCCATGCTGGTTTGTTCTGGTTCTCTGAAACCGTCCACAGCAGCTTTCCTATTTCAGGCCTGCTGAGTTCTCTTGAGCCATGCTGGTTTCCAAACACTTGTATTGGAATTTCCAATTGTAGTTTCACTTTCATGTTGACCCTAGTCACAACAAAAGCCTAGTCATGGGCTTCTTCATTCATCTTCTTAACAAGCTCAGCAAGGAAGTGACATATGGTCAGGGCCCAGGCAGTAGATGGAAACCAACCCAGTGATTTGAACAGGAAAATTGAAATAATTCTTAGTTAATCAAAGGTGGTACTGAGCATGGTAGTGCATGCTTATAATCCTAGCACTCAGGATGTGGAAGCAAGAAGATGGCAAGTTGGAGACCAGTCTAGGCCACATTACATGGTGAGAAAGACTTAATAGCAAACATGGGCTACAGCTTCTACTTCTAAGACCCAGGGAAAGTTTACAAGAAAAGAACAAGCAGTTGGAGGAACCGCCACCCTACCAAACCAGAGTTCAGCCTTGTTAAGGAAGATGTTGAGACACTGATGTAGGACTGCAGATAGGTTCTGTAGAAGCAGCTACAGGCTGACTTACAACCTCACTAGAGGAAACCAATGGGCCAGCATGGGTCTGCAGAAGCCACCTTCAGGGCGAAGAGCTCCCTTGTGTAGACTGTTCACAGGAAATCACGCAGGGTAATAGAGAGGCTTGCTGAAGAATGGGCACCACTGGACCTCCCTGACCCATGAGCAGGGGCTTGTTGCTTCCTCCGGTAGGCCTTAACTGTCTGCCTAGCACCCTTTCTTGACAGAGCCTAGCACTGCACCCATTGGCAGGGAAGTGTTCATGGATTCAGTTCCAGTATCTCGAAGAAGGGCAAAGAAGGATGGGTTTAGAACCCAGAGGCACAAAATGGTAATTATCAGGGGGTGTGCAACTTGAATCCCCAAAATCATCAGTCTCTTTTGTCTCAGCTGCCACTAGACATATCTGTTCACTGATATTATCATGTTTCCTGTAGAAATGTAGGAAGCCAAATATACAGATTGCTCAGAAAGGGAGGCATAAGATGCTGCAGCAGGCCAGGCATTCCCACCCTCCACCCTACCCCCCTGCTCTGAGTATGACTTATATATGGCCTGAGTCTCATAGCAGCCTACTTCCAGATGTGTGGCTTGGCAATTACCAAAAATGTCCACGCCTCCCATTTCACAACCGCTTTTCAATTTAGATTGTGGTAGTTTCAGCAACTCCATGATGACACAAGGCTGGTCAGGTAAAAACAGATCAAGTCAGGTCACAACAGAAGACACCAATGCCCCCAAAGTAAGACTCTTTTGGAAAGCTCTGGAGTTGCCTTTCCTCAGCAGAGTCTTATCTACCCAGCATGCCCCACCCAGTCAGACTGTCTATAAGGAGGAAAATGGAATTTTCCATTCCAAAAATGCCTGAAGCTTCTTCCACTGAGAAATAGGCAGCACAATTAGAGAAAGGGGAAAGAGGCAGAAATTCAATAATGTGAAATATTTGCAGATACAACCTCTTCCTCCCCCAAACTGTCCCTCAAACCTCAGCCCCTTGCATTTTTACCTGAAAATTTTGAGGCATTATAGGCATGCCTGATCCTCCTAATTGCAGTTGAAAGATGAACTCCCTGCCAGAGACACAAGGAGTCTGTGGTCCCCTGATCTGCCCAGCAGGCCTCTTTTATGTAGGAAGCAGCTGCTTCAGGGCCCTGGCCACTTCACCCACCAGGATTTCTCAGCTTTCACACTGACACTGGGTTAGTGCAGTCCCCTCTGGGGAAGGCTGTTTGTTTACTAAGGGTGTTTATCAGCCTTCTTGTTTCTACCTGTATCCTGCTGTTGGTGAGAATGAGATGTGTCTCAACATCACCAGCAATCCTCTCCACTGAGAACCATTAGGCTAAACCCAGCTGTAAAGAACCTCTGCACAGGACTTCAAGGGAATCTTTGGGCAATTTCCAGTCAGCTGAACCTCCCAGTGAAAATGTAACAGGCCTCAGTTATTCCACTTTGGGGTGTTAGTACAGTGTGAGGACACCATCTAAGAGGTGATACAAGTGCCACAGACAAAGTGAGAAATGCATAACTGAAACTAAGCCCAGGGGTTGCTTCTCCTAGGCCTTGAGATAGCCAAGAGTACACAGGGACCAGGTCAGTGAGATGATTCAGTGGGTAAGAGTGCTTGTTGTACAAGCCTGATGACCTAAGTTTGATCCCCAGCACCCATGATTTGAAGAAATGAACCAACCTCTGAGAGTTGTCTTCTGACCTCCATATGCACACCTGCACCACGTACACACACACACACACACACACACACACACACAGACACACATTGTACATGGACACAATAATAAATTTAATTTAAAAATAATAGGGAAAGTGAAAGACTGTGACAGCTGAGTACTGGCAGGTGACTAGGATGAGGGGTTAGGGTTACCAAGATATGAAGAAAGATTTGAGACTGGAGAAGCGGATGGAAGTCATGTCCAAGGGATCCTCGGCTGTCTGTGGGCCATGTGACTGCTCCAAGGTGCTTTCAGAGCCCTGAGGATCTGCGCATGGGTGAGGTGGGACTCAGAACACTGCAGAGACAGTAAGTTTGGAGGAAAGGTATGTGATGAGAGATGGTGTTGAGGGAGCAGGACCCCAAGATGGACTCAGTGGGAGGCGGGGGACGTTACTAAGAGAGTCCCTGCAGCAGACTATGAGGCAGGGAGATGGCTGCTGCAGGTATGAGGAATAACACATGAGGTTGTCCTCTGCACTCCAAGTGCATGATACATGCATGCAAACAAATACACACACACACACACACACACAGAGTCCTCTTTAGTTGAATCTTAAAATATTATAGACAAAATTCTCCTCATTCTTCTTGTTTTTTGCTTTCCCATTGGGTATGTATGGAGGAAACAAGTGGCTCTTATTTGTAAATAAACTTTCTGGTTCCCACAGAGAAACCACATCTTCTCTTCCAAAGCAACAGATGCTGAGAAATGCTAGACTTGTAATAACCATGAGTGGCTTTGGCTGGGTCACTGTGAAGGTAGCAGATGAGGTATGGGTTCTCAGGGAAGGAGTGGGTTCAGAGATCAACCTGTGGTTACAGGGACTGTGCTCTACAGATGTGCTCACAGTTCTCAGGCCCCCACTGAGGCACCTATGAGCAGTCACAGGGACACCTGGTCACATTGCAAAAGCCTTCCTCTCTGGCCAAGCACCTGAACTCCACCACAGAAGTCTTCACTGCCCCCCACCCCCTTATTCTCTGTTAGTGGAAGGAGGAAGCAGGAGAATCAACTCACATTCCATGGGTGGAACGTGCCTTTTGGGAGTGTGGAGCCCTTGGATGGCAGTGCTACTTAGGTGCCTAGAACCACAGAGTGGCTTTTAAAAGAACTGTCCTGTCCAACGGATCTTTCAGCTGAGAGTGGACAAAGTGGTGGGCAATTCCAGGGCCGGCCCTCAGAAGTCTGGTCACAGTGGCAGAGCCAGCACCATGGACAGCAGAGCGGTGAGCAGCACTCCCACCAGCAGCCCAGCCAGACTGAAGTGTTCCAGGTAAATCCAGCGAGCAGCGCCTTCTCGTAGGTGTAGGTACCTGCGCCTTCTCTCTGCTTCCTTATGCCCTCTCTGCACCACTGCCTGCCCTGCCTGGTAGCCAGCGGAAGATCTGGCCCAGCCCAAAATGGGGGAGCCCAGGAGTAGAAGGTCCTATCCTACCCAGCCAGAGCCTGTGGGTTCATGGGAGAGGCAGGGGTGGGGAGGCATCAGCTATCTAGCTGCATCCACACAGAGGAAGCTGCATTAGATCCCTGCCTGAATCCCACCTCAGGGTTGCTCAGAAGGCATGCATAGAGCCATAGGCAGTAGGGGGTTCACTCTGGGACAGGGGCCATAACTCCCCCTAAGTGGTACAGACCCTCAGGACTCACCCTGAGAAGTGTCCATGGCCTCCAAGAGCTGTGGGTACCTAGGGGCCTGACTGCCTTGGCCTATCTCTTCACTATGGCAACTAGGAAAAGGGATCCCCATCCTCAGACTCTCAGCCCATGGTAACTAGGGCTGGGTCTCAGGTCTTCTCTTTTTAGGCCTGGTGTTCATCAGTGAGGGTCCCAGGTTCCTTCCATCTTTCCATTACTGGAGACATGCTTTGCCCTTCCTGGTTCTTAGCACAGACCAGCCTCCCTGTGCTGATGGCAAGGACATGGCCCTGCCAATGGTTCAGGGTTCTGCCTTCCAGGTTTCCCTAGAAGTCTGTAAGTGCGGGTGTCAGCCCATTGATTCTCATCAGCTAGAGTGCATCTGCCCACCCCATCTCCTAGCAGCAGCCCAGGCTCCCCCTGTGGGGCCACAGAGCACTGCCTGTTTGCCCTGCAGAGCAAGGCTCCAGGCAAGAGCAAAGATATGGAGGCTCAAATTGAACTCTTCCTTCTCAAGGATCAGTGCTTCATTCATAGCCCCCTGCCCCCACCCCCACCCCACACACACTTTGCTCCCACCAGGCCAAGTGTCATCTTCACAGAGCCAGGTGTCACTCAGGGATCCACAGCATACTGTCCCCTTGCAAGTACAGAGAAGTGCCTTTTTCATGCCTCCCTGTGACCATTCTCCTTTCTCCCACTGTAAGGCCCAGCCCTTTGCCATTGAAAAGCCAAGCCCTGAAAGGCAGAATTTCCTTACAGTGGATCTTCAAGCTCACCCTGCTAAAAAGAATTCTTGATCAAATAAGTTTGTGAAACACCAGTTAAAGCAAGTTAGTCAGTTTCTTTCTTACAGGATTTATCAGAATCTTTATTATACCAGTAAAGACTCTGGATTTCTAGGCGGCAGGAAAGCTTGTCTTGTTTCCCAAACATATTTGTCCACAAAATTCTTTTCTCACCAACTGTCACATGGACTGGGAATTGGACAAGGCACAGTGAGACATTTACCCTAAGGAATTGCATCTCCTGAGTGTTTTCTGGTCAGGTCTAGCAAACTAAGGCTGGTTAAACAAAATAGCCAACCATCCACTCAAGGATGGATATACCCTGGTAGGCCACTGGGCCCAGGCCACAGAGATCTCTGTGCTCAGGCACCTGCCTGCTTGGCAGTCCATAGCTGTCCCATTTTGATCACTGCTGTGTGCCTTGCTTGACAGGCTGGATTCTTCCCATTCTCAGCCCTGGTTTAGCTTCAGACAAAGGTTGTTCTTGGTGATATTTACCTACCAGCATGACCACTCTCTAGAGAGCAGTTCCCAGGGGCTTGGGTATTGAGGACGGCTGAACCTTGGGGGTGAGGGGCAGGCCGGGCTCCAGGAAGTGAGCAGGCTCTGGGCAAGACCACTGATCCCTGGGGCTTTCTCTTCTTTTCTCTAGGACATGCTGCCCATGCCAGGGGACCCAACACAGGGGACTGGCAACTATAACATCGAGGACTTTGCTGACCTGGGCATGTTCCCACCGTTTTCTGAGTAGCTTCAGGCAGAGCAAGACTCCTACTGCCCCAATGCCACCCCTGTCATGGTGTAGACACCCCTGTGCAAAGGGGCCCCCTCACCCAGCTTGCCCTGCCGCAGGACCCCCAAATTCCCCTTACTTCCTGTTTCCCCGAGCATGGCACCGCTCGGCTCTAACCTGCAGCCCTAGCTTCTTGGGTTTGGGGATGTTTGTATTTATTGTGCTTTATCTGTGTGCTTGGAAGGGGTCTCTGGGCTCTTTAAATTCCATTGTGAATAATCTCTTAATGGACACTTCACACCCATTAAAAGCTCACTTGGTGTCCACAGAGGCTGGCAGCACCTGCAGGTCTGCCTGGTGCAGAAGCAGAGTTTCTATCTGCTTTCTCGCTGCTGCTGCCAGGGAAGGGAGGGTTCCAGGGTGAGAGTAAGAGACAGTGACCCCTGTGTTACAGGGAAACAGGGATATGGGTCTCACACCAGTAGCTTTCTTTGGTGGCCTGGGGCCAGGTGTGCTTTGTGCAATGAGAATCCAAGTTGTGTCCTGGTGGGTGTGCTGTGGCGTGTTGTCCTGTGTGGATAGTGAGTGTGAGAATCCAACCCACTCAGCTTCATTTTAAAGGGAGGCTCTGCTTAGGCCTGGGAGCTGGGCTGACAGGTCACCCCTCCAGCACTGTCCCCAGGTGTCAGGGCTAGGGACCTGCTTGTTTTATAACTCACTTCCTTAATCCCTGCCCCTGAAGCAGATGGCCTCCAGCTCTTAAAGGCTCTCACCCTTCCTCTTCATGGCTCAAGGCAGCACTCAGCCATCTCTCCCTAGACCTGAAGGAACTGTGTCCTGATTCCATGAAGGCCGCTGCATCCTCTCTGTTCTGTGGCAGAGCGGAACTCTTCCCTGCCCAGCACCTCCAGTAAGGCACACCCTGAGTTCATAGGAGTCCTCTGCACAGGGGCAGGATGCCATCCTCCCCATGTTTCTTCCCACCTCTGCTTAGTACTCTGGAGGGAAGGTAGGGCACACTCCCAGCATAGGAGGGCTCTGAACTGCTTTTCCCTGGGTCGCCTGAGCCTTCTGTCCTCAACAGGGCAGGAGGGCCAGGGCTCTTCAGGAGGGACACATCCAGGTCTGCAAGATGGAGGACTCAGCCCCTGTCACACTCTCACTGGAGTCCTGAATTCCTCAGTGATGTCAAAGCAGGAGTTTGAGCTGACTTCTAGAAGCACCTGCCTAGCTGAACTCTGAGCCCAGAGTCCTTGCATCACTCACATTTGAGATGATTTAGGACTCTGTCCAGTTTTCGTGTTCCACTGCCTCCTCCCATATGTGCACTGAGTGAGGGCTCCCAGCTTCCCTTCATTTGTCCCCTTACCTCAGGTGTCTCATCACCGTGCCTCAGCCCACTGAGAAGTCACAGGGCTACCTTGGGCAGGCCTGGGGTGGGGTAGTCCTCCAGCATCCCTTTGGGAATCCCTTGTCAGTACTTACTGATGCAAGCTCTCAGAACAGTCCTACCTTGCTGCTTGGCTTCTGGGGGACTGGGAGCATGGTGGGTTCCAGGCTGTTTGAGGGTATGTACAGTAAGGACCTGGGAGAGCACCATTCCATTCAGAGCTGTGAACTGAGCTTCAGCCTTGCCTGCCATCCATGGAGTGCCAGTGTTTTTCTATAGGACTCACCAGCAAATGCTGCCGGGATCAGCAGAATGCCCTTGGTGGCAGCCCACCCTGTGTTATCCCTGGCCTTAGTAAACTAAATTCTAGCTCCAGAGGTATTAAAGCAGCTTTAAGCCATTCTGTGGAGAGTGGTGACATGATCCATGGAGCCCCGAAATAGGCCTCCTCTGTGTGCTGCCCAGAGCTGCCTCTGTCCCTAGCAGCCTGGAGCTGGCCCCAGGCAGGGAGCATAATAAATTCCAAAAAAGAAAAAGGCACAAAGATAGCTTTGGGATCAAAGAATGTTTTTCAATGAAATGAAAATAGGCTTTATATGGTCTTTAGTTTGTGGGTTCAGTGGTGTTTGGGGTTGTGTGTTTGGTCTTGCCACTTGTTTTTCAGAGAGAGTTTGGGGACTTTTCTTAGGTGTGCACCACACGTGAACACATGAGCTGTCATGCTTCCCGGGGTCCAGGGCCCTGAAGGCTACAGAAGAAATAGAAGAGAATTCTTCTTGAAACCACCTTGAGTCTCTCTAAAATAGTGTAGGGTATGAACAATTAAGTCCTTGGTCCTGGGGGAGGAGATTCACAGGAAATTGCCAAACAGAGCAGCAAGCACCCTGGCTACATAACCCCTCTTCCCTCCCAGCCTTGTCCAGGCAGTCTGGCAGGGCTTGGGACATGGGGGTTGGGCTGGCTTGAGTTCTGGGTCTTTTCTATCCCCTTGGCTTCTTGGTTGTGATTCCAATAAGCCATGTGTGACTCATAAGAAAATAGACAAGAGGAGATGGAGAAACCATGGCAGGAGAATCCCACCCCCAAGGGCTTCTCTCACCAAGAATTCTTGAAACTCACCAGGGTCAGAATCAAAAGCTTACAGGATTCGGTTATCCTGGTTTTCAAAAGAACTTCCTGTGGCTGTCCTTCTCGGCTGAGGAGGCCAGCACTCTGGGCTTTCAGGCCATGTCCAGCCTGGTACATATGCTGGTGACTGTCTCAGCAGAATAGGAATGGGGCAAGGCCTGTTGGCATCCTGCATCTTAGTGCCTCTCCTCTGAAATCCATCTGGCTCCTTTTAGGCCAAGCAAGGGAAAGAAGCCCATGTAGGAGCCACCTGAGTCATTGACAAGGACACAAAGGCCACACAAGGGCTAGCCAGAAACTGTCACAGAAGCCAGGATGGTTCTAGAGCCCTGCCCATAAGCCACTCCACCCTGCTTGTGTTTCAGCTGGGGTTCAGGGAGTGAGCAAGCCAATGTATACAGCCCCATCCTTCTCCACCTTCCAACACACCCAGCTCCACCCTTTTTATGTCATAGTGATTGTTGCAGGAAGTAGAGGTCAGATGGGCGATGGAACTCACAGTGAGGAGCACACATCTCCCATGTCATTAGAAGTACAGTGCACCCACCAGGTTAACCCCACTGGCAGATAGATGTCCGTGCTCCTGCCAGCTCCAGGCTGGAAACCAGGCAGGCCTGGGAAGTGGATGCTGGACTCTCCTCCTGCAACACAGTCCAGCCAATGAGCTCCACTAAGACAATGGTCACAACCCTGTGAACTCACCTGTTCTGTGACAGCTACAGCCTGTCACACAAACAGGATAAGCTAGTTGCTAGCCACCAGTGACAAGGCAGAATAGAGGCCCTCTTTGTATGCGGTCATGAGTTCCTATGTCCTAACTTGCCAGTCTGTTCTCTGCTCCCTTACCAAGTTGATGCTCACCTGACATACCACCATTGGGGAGGCTGAAGCAGGAAGGGTCATCAGCTCAAGAGTTCGAGACCTGCCTGGGAAACATAGGAAGTGCATATATATATAATCTTTATCTCCGAGTAACTTCGCTACATTCCATATGCTGAGGAGCCACCAGCCCCCTGGATGCCTTCTACCTCCACTGCATGGAGTCTGGGGCAGGGTGAGGAGGCAGCACACAAGGGCATGGGCACAATTCCACACCTGGCATGTCCTGTCTTATGCCCTGAGCTGGTTTAATCGGGCAGCCTGCAAAGCCTTATGTATACTGACCATAGCAAAATGGAGCTTTCAGGGGCCATGCAGGGGTCAGCAGCTTGCTTTGTCTAATCATCTATTTCCTTAAAGAAAAAACATTTCACAAGCAGGCTTCCATGGACAGCAAGCACTTACTCATCTCTCAGCCTTTCTTCTTATGAATGTGAACTGTGCCGTGGGTAAATCATTTGTATTTCTTGAATGTTCTGTATGACTAACAGTTATTAAGTCACTGGGTATATGTATAACTAATGTAACTGCCTTTAAAATTTTCATTACAATAAAGATGACTGCACTGAACAGTGTGTGGTTTAGACCAGCTTGGTAATTGGTCGACTCGCAGCAACTTGCACGCCTGCCCCTAGTAATCTGGGACACATCACACTGCAACTCTTTCAGCCAGTGAGAAATGTACAGTATTGGCCTGCTAAAGAGATGTGCTTTGCAGGTTCTAGCTACTTAGGACAGAAAAGGAAACTATGTAAGGACAGGCTTTCTAGAAGTTTCTCTGCAAATGCTGTTTTTGTTAGTCATTGCAGATCTCTGATATGTTGTTACTTCTCCTAGATTATAGAAAACTGGGATTTGGAGAAGGGAAATGACCTTAACAACACACTGGGAGAAATGACAGAACCAAGATTTGATCTCAAGTCTCATTTGGGCTCATATATACATATATATACATACATATGTGTGTGTCAATAATATATATAATTGAATATAATAGTACATAATATAACACGTATATAATATAAATAATATATTACTCTTAAAACAATCTGTTATTTGTTTAAACCCTGCCAAAGTTAAGTTTGTCTTTTGATACACTCATTCCTCTAAGAACACAAAGTCTAACTTTTCTGTTTTCTCTGTTGAAAGAGAACCATTTGGGTTTTAGCAAAATGGCAGGCTGAAACCACTTGGAGATCTAGCGTTACTGTTGAATACAGTAAGCTGGGCATATTTAAAGACATAGGAGAAAATTTTATAACCTTGAGTTGAGCATGAACTTCTTAGATGCTACACCAAAAATAGGTCCCACCATAAACGAGCAAGCTGGAGTTCACAAACACTAAAGGCATTTACTTTTCAAAAGACCTAAAAAGAATGAATAATAAACTGCTTAGAAGAAAGTAGCCTTGTATCATACATTCGAGAAGAACATATATCCAGAAAATGTAAAGAATTCCTACAACTTATGACAGAAAGCAGTACAAAATTGGCAAAAATATCTGAATATTGAATACCTATGTTTTACCCCAGAATTCATGCACAGATGTGGCACACACCTGTAGTCCCAGCTACAGGGAAGGTTGAGGCAAGAGGTTCACCTAAGTTCAGGAGTTCCAGACTATCCTGGGCAACACAACGAGAGCCTATCAAATACATGCATACACACACACACACACACACACACACACACACACACAGCAGATAAGCACATGAAATCCACCATTAATATCTTTTGTTACCAGAGAAATGTCCTTCAGTATAGATCCATCCACTGGAACCTGTTAACCTACCAAAAGAGTCACAGCTTTAAAAGAGACTTTCTTCATCACTTGATTTGTAATAGTAGAAAATTATCTTTACTTTGGTAGAAAATGAATAAACTGTGATTTAGTCACACAAAGGAATATTTTGAAACACTTAAAAATAACTTTGTTATAACATGCAAAATTTCAAAACTATAATGTCTCGTGTACATGTTGTACATAGCTTTATGACTCAAACCATTACCATGTGTTTCCGAGCGGGTAGATATATGGTTAAAGGAAGAAATACGCACTCATAGATGTGGCCCTGGACAATGTGTAGCCTTAGAGAAGACTGAGGAGGTGTGGTGGCTTAATTTTTTAAAACAGGAAAGTAGGAAGGGAAAGGAAAAGAGGAAGGAGAGAGGGAAAGAGGGTCAGGAGGAAGGATGGGGAAGAGAGAAAAATGGAAGGAATTAATAAAAAGAAAAGGAAAGACACTCAGCAATCTTAGACATGCAGGCAATGTATATAAAAACTGCACTGAAATTCTTTTCACCCCAGTCAGAATGGCTATCAGCAAGAAAACAAACACTGGAGAGGATGCGGGGAAAGAGGAGCCCTCATACACTGCTGGTGAGATTGTCAACTGGTACAGCCTCTATGGAAGTCAGTATGGAGTTTCCATATGACCCACTTATACCACGTCTAAGTATGTATCCCAAATCAGTCAGCATAGCACAAAGATACTTCCCACATCAATTAACCTAACCAAGATAATCCCCCACAGACATGGCAGAGTGAGATGAAAATAAGCCGTCTGTCACTCATTTATCTGGAAGTTCTGAAATAGCTGCTGAGGGGTTACAGTAGAGAAGCCTGTGCTGTGCAACAAGCCTGCTCCCTCTCTGCACAACCTCATGAATGGGAAGGTGGGGTGATCACAGAGCAGAAACACAGCAAATAAAAGCCAGGTTCTTGTCATGGGCTGTGCTGACATGGGCAACATTCCTTCAGTCATCTATACAATAAGCAATGAACAAAAGAATACTCTTTACATAGGTACACCAGTAATAATTATCTTTCTCATTCTACCCATAATATATAGCCATTGTTTTTAAAGTTTAGAGTATAGAAAACTATTAAGTATAAAAATGTCGGGGGAGGGGGCCAGAGAGATAGCTCAGTGGGTAAGAGCACTGGCTGCTCTTGCAGAGGACCAGGGTTCAGTTACCAGCACCCACATGGCAGCTAACAACTGTGTGTAACTCCAGTTCCAAAGGATCCAATGCCCTTCTCATCTCCTCAGGTATTGCTCAGAATGAGTGCACTTGCATACATTCAGGCAATACACTCATACACACAAAATAAAAATAATAAAAAAATTTTAAGAACAAAATGTGAACACAGTGACATGCACTTGTAATTCCAGTGCTAGGAAGATGGAGACAAGCAGGTCCCTGGGGCTCATTGGCCAACCAGTCTAGTCAAATAGATGAACTCTAGATTAAGTGAGAGACCCAGTCTCAAAAAAAAAGAAAAAAAAGATAGATGACTCTTGAGGAATGACATCCAGGATATGGAGACCGCAGATCTCCACATTCCCATGCACACATATGCACATGTACCTGCACACCCATGAACACATACACACAATTTTGTGTCCCAGTTCATACCAGTAAGCCTGTGAGATAGATGACTCTTGAGGAATGACATCCAGGATATGGAGACCGCAGATCTCCACATTCCCATGCACACATATGCACATGTACCTGCACACCCATGAACACATACACACACACAATTTTGTGTCCCAATTCATACCAGTAAGCCTGTACAGGGGGAGAGAAAGGGGTCAAGCTGAAGGGTGAGGGAACACTGATAGCTCAGAATTCAGAGTGGGGAACAAAGCTGTACGAAGGAGCAATAGGTGTTGCCATGGTGCTACTCAAGACCTTACCACTTCCCATCCTCATCTTCCACTGAGAAAATGGAAGTGTGTCCTCAGTTTCCATGTGGAAGCTTACTTCTGCTGCTCACTTTCTCAAACATGTTGTCTCAGTAGACACTTGTATGACACCTACCACCTGCCAGGCTTGGTGCTGGGATTAAGTTAACATAAGGGAGACCTAGACTTCGGGACCATAAGAAGTCCCCCATTCTAGGGGAAGAGACACAAGCAAACAGAACATGGCTTTTTGGAACATGCTAAGAGTTTAGAAAGAAGATACCCAGTAAGTGTGTCCAGGAAACGCCGAGGTGCTCATGAGGTGATTAGCACAATTTAATCACTGGGTCTTAGAATGAAATGTCCTCGCTGGGCTCACAGCTGCTGGGCTCAACTCTCTTCCAGACATCACTTAAAGCATTCCCATCTCAAATCTCATGACCCTTATAAATCATGACATAGGTACAACCTCCCATCAGGACACTAGATTAAAATGTCTGGCATGTAGTTTGCCTCTGGTTCTATAGCCACAACTTCCCAGCTTCCAATTCTTCCCACATACTTTGTTGAGGGTCAAATATGTATGTCAATGTTTTTAAGCAGTTTGGTGCTGATGAGGCCGGGAACACAGTGCACCATCATGATCTATCAGCGTGTGCGCACTGTCTTCACTGACTCCCTAAGGGCAGAAGACATTTCTATTCATTTTTCTCGTGGAATCTCTACATCCTTAAATGGTTGCCATGTTTATTCTGCTGCCATGTTTGGACTTAAGCTGGGTCCACAGACCTGAGCCACATTATTAGTGATGTAAGTGACAATGCCACATAGGAATTACTAGAAACCTTTGTGCTCACTCAGGCCTCAGCAACTCTTCTGGGAGGTGTGGTTTGAGGGCTCCCTGTGGAAAAGTCCACAGAGCTACCTGGTCAGCAAGGAGCCAGGACCCCAAGAACCAAGTAGATGCTAAAGCTGAAAATCATACTAGGTCCACTTTCCATAAGAGAGGGGTCCATTGGAGACTCACAGGTTCTCAGTCTTCAGGTAAGGGAGCAGGGAGACATCTGTCTAAGCCTGTCTGCTACCACAGAAAGAGGGACCAGCATCCCCTTGAAGCAGGACAGAAGAAAGAGATGATTACACATGGTGTTTAGGGGTCTTTTGATGAAGGCTGCCTCTGGAATTTGTTTCATGAGCACAACATACTTCACAGACTTCAGTCTGTCTCTTGTACCCCTAAATGATCAGGAACTCATTGCACTCTGGGCCAGCCCACTGTTCCTTATGGTTCATGACTAGAATGAGGTCACAGTACCGGTGGCACACTGACTGGTGGTTTCCAGGTCGGTCTCAGTTGCCCTAACTCCATGCTGGCTATAATTGAGTAATCTTGGATTTTTATTCCTGTCTGATTCAAGCTGTGTTGTGGAAACTGAGAGCTGCGATGGACACATTGCTGCCATTTGTGGTAAAAATGGGCAGAACTCAAGAGACAAGCTGGGAGGTGATGACAGAAGGCCAAGACCAGAAAGATGCAGGACACAAGCATTTCAACTTGGGGTTCCTGGGAATTTTCCCCTAATTTTATTGTGAGATCTGTCCAGATGACTATTTTTTGGTGTGTATGGTGGGGGAGGGGAAATAAGGTCATGTTAAGAGGAGACTGAGGGTGGTATTTCATCTGAACTGAATCTTCAGTGTCAGTGAAGATTCTAGAAGAGTAGCATACAAGGAAGAACTTAAAAAGTGGGAAAAGAGGTGATTCCTATCTGTGCCAAGGGCAGCTGTGGGGTCCTGGGGCCAGCTGATGGAGAGATGGTACATCCCAGGCAGATAGCCTGAAGATGAAGAAATGGAAGAAGCAGAAGATCTGACTA